GAAGTTGAAAAAAAAAAGAGATTTCTTTCTCTTTTTTTATCAAATTATTTGTTTTTAAATTATTCTGTTTTCTACATGCAGACTGAACTCTTCGTCGATTCATGTTTGGATGGAAAGCGTTGTGAACGTTGAGTTTTCAGGTCTTGTCATACGAGTCCAAATTCATTTTTTGTCTGAACTTTGACTGAGCCGTTGTGTTTCTGTGTGCATGGTCAGGGTTGTTCTCCTGCTAGAACAGGACCTTTTGCAGAGGCGCTTGATATTTTGGAGAAAAAAAAAGGTAAAACCAACAAATTAAAAGAAATAGATATTAATCCAGATTAGAGGGGTTTTTTGTTTTGTTATTTTTCCATTGAATTAATTCTGCATTGAATTTCCACAACAGAATGACCCAGTTATCAGTCATCTTTATTGTTTCTTTGTCACCATTACATTGAAAACTAAGTGCTTTTTTGTTTACACAATTTTCCAAAAACATCAACATCCCGTGGAAGAAAATGTATAAAATTATCTCTTCATATGCTTCATGTTTTTCTTTGTTTTAAAAGCAAAATGATGTTTTTTTTACCAAATGATTTCATTCAAACTTTTAAGTTGTCTTTTCACAAAAGGTTTTATAACTTTGCAGATCTGACGAGTTTTGTGTAGCTTGACTGAGAGCAAAAACGACTCTTTGGCCTTTGAAGGTTGCAGACTCATGTGGTAAATCTCCACTCCAGTCTCAGGTCTCCTAACAGGAGTTTTCTTCCAGATTGTCTCGGTTTTAGTTTCAGGACTTTTCGTGAGATGCGAAAAGCTAAATTTTCAGACATCTGCAACGATATTCCATGGTAACTCCGATGACACCATCAGTTGTTGGCAATCACTGCTAATCCACTTTATTTGCTTTTGCCACTCCTTGTCGAATTTCTGCCTGGCCACAAGGTTAATGAAACGAGCAGAGAAATTGGTGTATGGGATGTGATTCTTGCCTGTTATGATTCATGTAAGAGGTTGTTTTGAACTTCCTGTGTCTCTCTACTTCTGCTCTGCTTCCACAAAACCTCCCTTTCAACTCCCCGGGGGTTTGGGGTCATCGATCAGGTAGTTTTCGAGGCGCTAATAAGCCGCTCTCAGTTGTAGAAGCAACAACTTGTTGCCACAGTTATGAAGTGTGTTTGTTTTTGACACAGAGCAAATTATTCTGCACCTGACCTAGACTAAGAGACGTGTGAAAATTTCCAGCCCTTAAACGACTTACCTGTAAATTCGAAACTGCTCTTTGTCATCAGAAGACCAGGAGGCGTAATCCTCCTGTGAGGGATAGTGGGATTTGAGCAGCAACACGTCCACCAGCTGGAAGTAAACCGGCTTGTAGACCTGCAGGTAAACTGCCTGCTTCTCTTCCTCAAAAGATAGAATGTCATCCTGAATGTTCACCACATAGTAACAAAGAGAGGGGGAAAAAAACTATGAATAACCAATATAACTTGAACGTGGCCAATGTTTTGCTTGCTGGGCTACAAATCTGAGCAACCTTTCGCGTTTGCGTGCCTGCTCTGTTTGCGTACCTGCAGCGTGTACCAGAAGGTGAGCGTCAGGGAGCTTGTGGTCTCACTAACCGGGTAGTGTCCAGGAATCCCCGTACAGAACAGAATCATGTTCACCAAAGCTAGATACTCCTGCCAGTGGTCCAGTTGTTCCAGCAAAACCCTTCCAGAGACAAGCACATGAAAACACCTGTGGCAGACGTGGACGTTTTAGTGTGTGTGGATACCTGGAGTGTGTTTCCCCCAAAGCCACGGCGATGCGACAGATACCGTGGGTTGTCTCCATGTCCCCATCCTGAGCTGCTGTCTTCAGCTGGTCGTACAGGCCCAGCACCATTGGCATCAGGCTCAGCAGAACATTAATGAACCTCCACACAAGAAATGAAATGGCACTTAAAGACGCTTCACAACAAAATCAACCATTTCCTTTCACATGTTGATGATAGAAAAAGTGTTTCCATTGCAGTTTTGCTATTTCGATACGGCTGAAAAATCACCTCAGCTACTGAGATCTGATGGCCAGCAAAGATCCAGCGTGGTGCTCACCTCTGACAATCCGGGTGTGTGATGGCAGTAACTATCGTCTCCACTGCGGTGTCGAACAACCCTGGGTCGGACAACGCCGCGAAACAGTCCTGGACCAATTCCTGGCTTTCCCCCAGAGGCACATCCAGCCCCACCCAGCTGGAGAGACAGCGGAGAACTTTCTCCTTCACCTGAACCGACGAATCCTGACTTTGTAGGAGCTGTCGCAGCATGCCACACACCACAGCCCACTCCCCGGCCAGAGCTTCCCTCAGCTGGCTGCGACGGGCTCGGGCCAGACGGCCGCTTTGAAACTCCTCTGGAAGAACGGTGAGGAGCTCCAGGAGAGCAAGGCAATGTGCATGAGGGTCCTGAGAAGCCTCGGCACCGGGGTTGTCTTGAGAGTCCGGTTTCTGAGGTTGGAATGCTCTCACCATGTCCGCCACCGGCTCAGGCCACGCCTGGGGGATTAGGTTAAGAGCCATCGAGGCAAGCGCCACACACAGTCGAGTGAGCACCATTTTAGGGCCAGAGGAGAAGCCTAAGATGTGGGAAAGAAGTTGCATCCTGAGGTCCTCGTGCTGCTCTGTGGGAAGGTCGCCCCAGTGACGGCAGATCTTGATGTGGAGTGTGCTGGCGCCAAAAAACTGAACCTCCGGGATCTACAAAGAGACACATTTGAAAATAATTTCATCAAAACTCAACATATGACCAATTTTCTGCAGGACGGTGAACACTCCCCAGCATTCCTCCTTCTCTCATCTCCATCTTAACTTCTTTTCCTAGTCAGTTGTTATAGGCTTACAGAATCCCTTTAAATGATCTGTTTCCTTACTGAGACTTCAATGCTGTAATTTTGATTGATTACATCAATTTAAATATTTATCCCCAATGCTAATGTTAGCATCCACAGCCCACAAGAAGTTCCATGAATAATCGGAGGTTCTTGAAACACTCGAGAGCTGAACGGGTTGAATAACACTTTGCACCAATATGGCTGGTTGTAGTAACAGATCAAAAATAATAGATACTTTGCAGTTGAACTCATTTGTCCATTAATAATTTAGCAGCAAAATGGCTTTTTGAATTGAAAATGTTTTTTAACTCATTTAATTGAGTTATGAATATGGTGATAGTGCAAATGGATTACCTCAGACCGCATTGCTAATAGTTAGCGCCACATCAGTTAGCAAATCCCACAGTTTCTTTGTTGTTTTTTTTAACTTGCAACATAAATGAGCTCAATCCAGGTGTGAAGGCATTTCCAGATATAAGTTACAAATGCAACACAAATCATGCACACCAGAAGTTCAGACTTCATTTCAACCTCAGATGCTAAATATAGGTAACTTTAAAAACTTACAAAAAACTTCCTCACTGAAGAGTGTTGTTTACTGTGCCCTTGAGGCTTACATGTGGCGCATTCACTGGATGGAAAAAGCGCTAAGGATCTTTGACACTCACTGACCAGTCACCAGCCAGAGCTGACTGAGGTGACAATTGGCTGACTCCGTTAAATCGGTGCATCTATAATGATAAATAACAAAAACAGAGGAGTGGTGGAAGAGTTCGGAAAGCAGGACCTTGTCAGGGCCCAGCAGGGCCCAGCAGAACTGCCATGCCTGCGCCGAGGCCTGGGCTTGGGTCAACCACTTCTGAGCAACGTTCTTGCGCTCCATGTCTGGGTCGAAGTACAGCTGGTAGAGAGCCTGGAGAGACACAGAGAGAGACAGAGAGAGACAGAGAGACACAGAGAGACACAGAGAGACAGAGAGACACAGAGAGAGACACAGAGAGACACAGAGGAGCAGAGGGAGTCGAGCAGGACATAAACAACTACAGGAGGGATTTTACTGGCATCAAGCAACTTTAAAATAAATAAATAATTATATTAACATTTGTCAACAATCATGCCTGCTGGAGGACCAGTTTCTTAGATAGTAAAAATGTGTTGTCATAGGAACTAATCCGAAACACATGCTGTTGGTTATTATTAGGACAGCATCTGCTTAAAGCTGGAATCAAGTTACAACTGGAGCAGCTTCCAAAACCACACAAACTAAACGCCCCAATAACAGATGCTTTATTTTGACTATTTGATTCTCGTGCAAAACTGACTAATTAAAACGACGAGAACACACAGTCACATGTTTGTTCAAACCAATAGCTATATGTACCACCTTTGGGTCACACTGTGCATCTCCGCGGACTTATTGAAAGTGACTCACCGTCTCCACGTTCTCCTGCGTGAACTCCAGCGGGTTCTGACCCGGGACGGGTTCGGACTCCATCGGGCACCGATTTGATCAAACGTGTTTGTTCTTCCTGGTTATCCTCACCGGATTGAAACCGGAAAGTCAGATGGACACCTCAGTCCTCCACACTGTCCACGCGCGCGGCCAGTTTTCTCAGGTGTGACGACATGCTGGCCTCTGACACAACACACGAAATAATAATAATAATAATAAATAAAAAAGACAGAGAAGAAGGAAAGAAGTGGACTCGCTGCAAAAAAATATATATATATATAGCCTACATATATATATCTTCTAAAAACTAAAGTGTTGCAGGTCGACCTGCGCAAAGCTCGCAGTCGTCCGCCCTTTAGGAGGCGCTCCTGACGCAGACGGCTGCGCCTCTGACGCACCGACGCCTGATTGGAGCAGCGCGGCGCGAGCCACCGCGGTGCAATAACTTTCGAACGCGAAGTGATCGTGGATGGACCAGAACGGAGTGTTCAGGAAGGGACCGCGATATGGATGGATGTTCTTTGAAAAAAATAAAATAAAATAAATAATAATAATTAAAAAAAAGAGTCTTTCTTGTCCAACGCACCCACGCAGCCCCACCCGCGTGCTCCTCTTCTGCCCGACTCCCTCAGGATATTTTTAGCGCTTGGTGATGGGCCCTGTCAAATCACGTAACGGAAACAAACATCAGAGAGAAAGAGAGAGAAAGAGAGAGAGAGAGAGAGAGAACAGAGTCGGTTTAACTGAGCTCTGCACAGAGAAGAAAAGGCCGAGGAAACCCGATGAGATGAGACTCGAGATTCATTTGGTGTCCCTCTGTTTGCTGATGGTTACCGGGTCGCCGCAGACTGGAGGTAAGACGATGTTCTCATCCGTCAATGTGAAATTCAGACTCTATGCTTGTTCCATCCGTTTTGACTTGACCGATAAAATAATCTTTCTTTGATTTGCAGCTTTTTTCCCCCCCATGCATTTCCCACATAAAACCACAAATTTGGTGTATTCTGTGTATTCTGTTGCGGTTTTATGCTGTGGAGCGTCATAATGGAGTAGATGTTGGTATAAAGAAAACTATAAGCCGTGCTTTGGTGTCCAGACTCCATCAGTTGGTTGCAGATAAATCTGAATTGAATTTTTTTTCTTCTTCTTCTTTTTTGCCTGTTGCGTCGTGAAAAAGTTGCTCGATTTCATTCAGATTGGACAGAAAACATCTGAGAACATCAATTTTCAGGTAGGGTAACAGATTCTCAGTTGGGTGTAGGTCTGGGCTTTGATTAGGCCAGGGCTGTCCTTTTCTGACATGGACCAAAAATGATCAACTCAATGGTGCTGTTGGGCCAATTTTTTTTTTTTTAAGTTGTTTTTTTTTATCTAATACGCTAAACATTTTATTGAGAATTTTGTTCTTGCTCAACAGTAAACTTAAGCATGAAATATTTGAATTAAATAAAGCAAATAGATTTTTTGTAGGAAAGGAATGTGCTAATCTTTAAGATCAAAATCCTCCAAAACTTTTCTGTGTGTTTTCTTTATCAAACGATAAGGTACACGTTCGGTGGTTCTTTTGATAGTTGTAATAGTTTTGTACTAACTGAATTTAAAAAAAAAAAAATCTGGGTCAAATTTGCTTCGTTCAGGGGCCGCACAAAATCAGTTCAGGGGACACAAATGGCCCCCCGGCCGCACTTTGGACTCCATTCTCACACATCAAGTTGTCAACATAACGCGTTGAATCTCAAGTGCTTTTCCTACTAATTGTCAATGCGACCACAACTTGGACAAAAAGGTCCAAGGGAAAAAGTTTTAATATATTTTTTTTTAAAGCAAGGGATAGGGCTGGTATGCTTGCTTGACTTTGACAACCTCAACATGTAGGTATGCTGCAGAATCTGGTGTGTTTTGGTTAAGTTAAAAAAAAAAAAACACAAGGTGAGCCACACACCAATCCTCTCTCATATCATCAGTAAAGCAGATGATATGTCATCGTCTCCTAATCAGCTCATTTAAATTAATTGGGGAAAAAAAAAATCTGCTATTAATTAGCAAATCAACGACGTTATTCTGACGATCACTTATCAATAATTGCAAAATGAACAAAAAGCCTGAAAACAGAGCACTTTTGTGGACCGAGTGAGTGATTCCAATAATTCCGTTGTCATTTTACAGGTCAGAGCCATGCTTTGCCTACTTCCTTCACCTCAACCACGTTTCCTGCTCCTGCTGAGGCCCCGGTCAACGAGTTCCCACAGCAGACGCCAAACCCTGCAGGCAGGAATGAAACGTCAGGTGATCTCCGGGCCTCTGGCGCCACCGCCGCCCCGACGGAAAGCATGGTCCGATCAGGGACACCAGCGGGTGCAGGACACCCGCATGGCTCAACTTCCACTAAAGCGACATCTCAGTTCACAAACGCTCCCGCTGTCACAACTCCATCTCTCTCAGGTAGCCGTCTCTACTTGCTTCTCCTGTTGGTCATTCGCTCCATAAATTTGTCAGTGAGTGAAAAGATTAAGACAAGAATAAAACCTTATTGGCAAAAAAAGGAAAAGTCAAAGGAAATTTTGACAACCAATCAGAGCCAGGAGGTGGGCCTTAACACTGTCAATCATGTTTGTGTACTTGCTGCTAAATGTACAATCGGTGGAGAAATCACTCATTGTTCCAGGAAAACTGTTTATCCGCTATCATTGTGGCCATGCTAAGTAGCCTTAGCATTAATGGCAGGCGGAGGGAAGACCACCACATTAACAAGAAGGATTGACAGCGTTAAGATCCGCCTCCTGGACAATAATCTGCAGATTATCTGTCATACCAAACTGTTACAACTTAGAGGTCATTTTAACAGAAGTGTAAAATAAAAATTCTTCAAAGTCCATTCATTAGGTTGTCATATTAAACAATTGTAACTAAAGTAAGCTAATTTGTTTACATTTGATAAAGTAAGCCATTTTTGTCTTAAGCTGGAGCTCCATTCTCTTTTTTAGGTCTATCGCCTAAAATCCAAACCAACTGAGTTGCCGTCTGTGGTTGGGATGCGACAAAATGCTCACTACTTTGCGATATCACCCCAATGCCTTTTTTCATTTTTTCGTTTTTATTTTTACAAGGTTCTGCAAACTGTGGCTGATTATTTACATCTGCGCTAATGTGACAGCTTTGTTTATTTCTGGCCTTCTGGGTCTGCAATTTTTCCGTTTCAGTGTGTTTACTTTGTCCAGACTAAAGCTTTAAAATATAGCAGCCCTCTCAATAAAACGCTGCCTGTTTGCAAACACAGGCCATTTTCCCAGACTCGGTTTCCCTGCCAGCGGCGTTACGGGAAAACAGTCCTGCCCTGACCTCCACTTGTGTTATTGAAGAGATTCCCTTTTTACAGATCGGGTAAATGTAAATATAATCCCCTCAGCTGACGCTGGGTCACTATTTTAGGAGAAATAACCAAAAGCAAGAACAAATCCAACCTCACTCATTTTTTAGTGCATTTTTTTTTTTAAATCTTACTGGTTATGGAACATCAAGCCAAACCTCTTTAAAAAATCTATTTATAGATAAATAAGTCTTTCTAATTCATTTCAATTAAATAAAACAAAACAAAACAAACAATCATGATGAGTCGCTTAACTGAACAATCATCAACTAATTGAGTAATAGATTAATTGTTAAGTGGAGTATACAGACTCAAAAAAATTATATTTGCTGAAAGATCAACACACTGCGAGCAGTAAGAAAAAAAAAAGAAGTTTTAGCATTTAAGAAAAAAAACCAACAACAACTTTGGTCTGTAAACATGTTCAATCCAGAATTCATCATGTGGCATAATTTTAGTTTCACTTCAAAAAATTCTAGTATGAACCTTTTTCTATTCATTTATTGACCAGTTAATCCAAAAAACACCAGCTAGTTCACCTCTCAAATAAGAAAAATAAGCTTCATAGTGCAGGTGGCAATTTATCATATCACTTTTCATTTATCGTGATAAATTTCTCGTGACAAGAATTTCAATTTTTTTGTTGTCACAATAAATTTCAATTAATGTTTAAACCCCCTCCAACGCTGCACAAGTTGTTTAATTGGACTATTTTCTCCACCTTTTTGTTCATGAGAGCATCAATACACATCAATGAAGTTGAAAATACAATTAAATGCAGTTAGTGTGTGCGATATAGAGATACAAACCACGCTTCTTTATATGACTGCTAAGGAAACTATGATCCACACAGGGAATCACAGGCTTCTACTAAATCATTTTTGAAAACAGCTTATTGTATTTGCTCAGGTTATCTTTGTTTGGTAATAAAATTCGTTTGATGTTCTGAAGCAGCGAAATGTGACCAGAGACAGCAAACAGAGAGGATATTAGCAAAAGGAGTAAATTTCCACAGCACTGTACATCCTGTTTCATCAATCATGTGCGGTACAAACCGTCGCGTCTTTTCCAAAATCCTCAGCCGTTGTTAGAAGCCAAGACTCGGTTCTTGGAGCCTGAAACGTGTGTGACACATACCTCAACATAATCTTCCTTCTGTTATTTTCTGAATACTCTGTGTGCATCGACATGCCAGTGGTTAATCTGCAAACACCATTTGTTGATTAAATATGTGATGTTCAATAGAAAGATTAGAGTTGAAGGAATTTGGAACAGCTGTTCCAAATTTTTTTTCAATCAGTTTAATAAGAGAGAATTTAATAGCAAATCACGTTATTTAGTCATTCTTAGTTTATAGTGATTCTTCGTTCTAGCATGTTTTTTCCCCTCCTTTTCTTTTCTACTTCTACCCATAATAACTGTGTGACTCTAGATTCATTAAAACAAGGTATAACAGAAAAAGTAAAAAAAAAAATAATAGTAATTCTTAAAAAGGTCAGAAATTGACTGCCAAGATGAAGAGGGAAGAAAACATATGCTGACCTCCATTTTTGTTGCCAGTTGGTTATATTATATATATTATATACAGTATTTGGTCTTTGTCCCAAATGTATTAATTTGTACTCCCTTTTTTCTTCTTTATTGTTGTTGTTTTTTTCTCATATCTGATTGGTTATTTTGTCGATCTGCACCTCTACATATTTTGCAAGCTCAAAAACAATTTCACAAAATCGGTAACGAAACGTCAACATTTACAATGCTTTTTCTTCGTTCTTCAATAATTATTGCATTCATTTAGCATAACAGCTGCATCATGATGTCTGACTTTAGATGGCCACGAGTTCCAAGGTGTAACATTTTATTTCCAGATGATGCAATTTTCCCATCACAATCCCCTCTTTTAATTATAATAAAATGTGTAGCACTTCTTATCATAATATTAATCAACAAGTTTCATTTATTCCTGCAGTTCCCCTGGTCTGCTTCTCGTTTGAAACGTTTCCTTTTCTTGCTTCATAAATTTGACTGGCAGCAGATCAAAAAAATGAGCATCAGAAATAACAGTTAAATTAATTATTTTAACTTAGATTTTTTTTTTGATATAATTGAATAACAGATCAATTTAAGGTTAAAACTATATGGGGTTCCATTTTATTTTTAGTTTTGCTTTTTTTTTTTTCCATCTTCCTTCCAACTTCCCGAAGCCCCAACAGCGCCCTCTGGGGGTCATTACTTTCAAAAGCACCGTGTTAGTCTGTAGTGTTTGTTTTGCACACTAATTGGTGAATTCAAACAAATACAATATTTAAAAGAATGTAAAAACTAGAAAGTCGAGGTTATTTGCACAGGATGAGCAGCACCACCATCACCACTATTATTATTATGTTGGTGTCTGCAAAGCGAAACAGGTTCTATGTTTTTAAAGGTAATTCTTGGAATTATTATGCATAGACAGTTTTTGCTAAACATTATGGACAGCTGCTTCGTTGTTGTTGCGGGGGAGTGTTTGGGTTTCAGGAGCAGGTGACCTTTGACCATTTCCACTCTGTCCTGTTTTGAACCGACACACTTTCAGCCGCCCCAGAAGGCCTTTCATCGGCACCGACCGCTGCGAGCGCCACCCCTCAGCACGCCACCTCCCATACGTACTCCCCAGCGACCAGCGAGGCCCACTCCACCTTTTCATCTGGAGCCACGACCCCCGCCTCTGTCTCACACACACCGGCTCCTGGTTGGGTCCCTGTGGGGCCCACACAGCCGGAGTTTCCGTCGGAGCTCAACATCGGCGATGACGGTTAGGAGACGTAGCGAGCGTGACTTCTTTTTAAAGCTTGAATTCATGACTTCGTTTTTAATGATTTGTTCTCCATCGTGTAGACTCGAAGGAGTCCCACCGCCACTCCAGCTCTCCTCTGGACCCCCTGCTGGCCGGTCTGCTGTCAGTGTTCATTGTTGCCACAGCGGTGGTCTTCACTGTCCTCTTCTTCAAGTTCCGCCAGAGGGTGAACCACCCCGAGTTCCACCGGCTACAGGACCTTCCCATGGTAAGAGACATCAACACACTCTCTACTCGTAGTCTTTGATATTTTTTACAGTATTGTTATTCGTTTCCTAGCATGTTTCAATTCTCAGGAAGTGATCCATCTGCCAGTTATCTTCCTGTTGTGACAGGACCAATGACAACAGGAAATTGGGATTCTGTTTCTTTAAGAAACTCCTGCTCAGGAAGTGATCACAACATGGCTCCTCTACTAACCCTTTAACAAAGTTTAACAATGTTTCACTGAGAAGTAGGTCCTGTAATGAGCTCAGCGCATGCACAGTTCCACCAGGTGTTTGCTGATTGATGCTGGCTAGTTTGAAGGAGCTGAGGGGGCTAAAGATCGGAAACTTGCAAACAAGAAGGTTTCTGGGTATCAAAGCCCCTTTAAGAAAGGAAACAAAAATGACATGCTTCCATTTTTGCTAAACAAAGAAGTAAGTCTCCTTCTCTACGGGCGTCGCTGTTGCTTCGCCTTTAAGGTCATCATGTTACAATTTGCAGTTCTCTCTGCAGGACGATTTGATGGAGGACACGCCCCTCTCGCGGTACGCCCACTGACGGATTCTCCTCTCGACTCCTTCACTCGCACCATGGAGAGAACATGTGCCAAAAAAGAAGCACCTTGTTTTATATGTGGAGAAGCATATGTCTTCAAGATTAGTCCAAATTACTGACTTCTCTGTTTAAGGCTCACTGTTGAAACGATTATTTTGTTATTTTGTCGTTGTAGAGTCGCCTAAACCTTCTTCCATATTCCCGTCTAAGTCCTGGAGACTTTTGAGTCTCACACAAATAGTGCAAATTCAAGGCACTTTTGCACAAAGAGCAGCATTTTCAAGGTGACATGTATCACACTGCCCTCTAGTGGACATGTGAAATATTGTAGGTTGAGAAATCCATCCAGGACAAAAATAAACCTCAGGTGATTGTCACTCTGAATGAGGATTTGAGGTTCAGACTGAGAAACATCACTGGAGATGATTTAGCTGACCAAATATGAGTGAAGTGCACTTTCAATCCAAACTGTTGCCTTATCGCTGCATGAGGTAATACAGAAAGTTCACATGTAAATTATATTTTTACTCTACAGTATTTGAAAAACCAGATGTACCAGTAACCTTTTTTTTACTTTATTTTTTAAACTGGTTGAATTTAGGAATATGTGGTGGTGTTTGGTAAACGTTGTTGTGAAACTTCTCTGTATCATTTTGGAATGAGAATCCTGAAATTGGTGATTGTTCCTTATATTGAATGTTAAATGTGCCAACGCACTTTTACTTCCCAACCTGGAAAGTAAAAGTGTTGCAATTAACACACAAGTTAAAAGTGAAATTGAACGCTGTTGTGAGGGTCTGAGTGTCGGGTGTCTTGCAAAAACATTCCTAGCGCTCAAGCTTTTCCACGTTTCGTCATGCTGTAACCACAAACTTCAGCATGTCTTAATGGGCTGTTATATCAACGAGAAACACAGATTAGTGCAAAATAGAAAAGTAAACAAAATCCAATCCAATTGCCTCCAGTCAACTCATTGCTAATGGATTATGAAACAACATCTAAAGTTTTGGAAATGTCACAAAATACTTGACAGTTCATCTGAAAATTAAAATAGCTCAAGCAGTCAATGTTACAACAAATCCAAAGAGGCCTCTGACTGAAGACTGCTGGTGCATGAATATCAAGACAAGCAAACGGCTCAAGTTCCATGTTGTGGGGACAATTTCCATAGTAACCTACTGCATGACATTAGTTGTTTTAAGCACCGCTAATGTTAATATCGACTTACGTAGGCTAAATAAATGCCCGCCACACCTTTCAGATTTTTATCTTGCTTGTAGTTGGAAGCTGACAGAATGTGGAGAAAGTTCAAGGGCTTTGAATTTCGCAAGATTCTCCGCTGATAGTTTTGCTTTACTCTCACTAAGTTTAGTGAGAGTAGATGTGCTTAAAATGTAATAATTTAAATGATATGAAAGATCACTTGTTTAGTAATAAAAAAAACAAACAAACAAAAAGAAAAAGAACGTCTTTTGCCTTTGATTGCGGGTGGGGAACATTACACTGCTTTGTTTTAACCTGCTTGTCAGGTATTAACAGTGATTATGATAATTAAGTCAATGAGTTATTGCTCCTGTCTGAACCGGCACGGCGGACTTTAAACAATAACTGTTTATAAAAAGAAAAAAAAAGCCGCTCCCTTTACACATACACCTACACCCTCACATTCTTTCATTCAGCCCCACACCTTCTATAGTAAACCTCATAAGGCTGTGTTTTCTGCAGCTAAAGAGCGTAAAAAGTAGAAGTGTAGAGATTTTTAATATACAAAATCCAGAATGAAATTCTGGCTTGAGGCAATCACGACAGAACATGTATATCACATAGGCTTAATGCAGACAGATTGGAAGTTGTGTTGCGACTGACTGACCATCTTTGGTTCAAAAATTACACAACAAAAGCCACAATTCTCTACAATGAGGGTTCAGCTATTACATTATGCAGGTGAACTCATCTCAAATGGGAGTGGCTGCATCTAGAAAAAAAACCAGTCGGATTACTTTCCAGCTTCGACACAACCGTCAAAGCTGGTTGAGCGGTTCAGAGTTGAGCGGATACTACGTGCAGTCGCCATAAAACATAATTCCGATTGCCGACATCAGCAGGTCTCACTCATTAGTAAGATGCACCCCTGAACATCCGCAGGCGCCCCGGGCCCCTCCAGCCCAGCAGGTGGCCCCCATAGCTCAGAGTGGTCAGCATCATCCCCAACAAGGCAACGTTTCCAAACGCACCCCTCATCCTCTTCTTGGGATCTGACATAAAAGTACAGCAACAACAATTTTTAGCGCACGGTATATTATGCAAATTAAAAATAAATAAAATATATATTTTTTAAAAAGTAGCAGGACGGCTACCCAGCGTCTATGAGGTTACGGGGTAAAATTAATGATTTGATTTATTAATCTTGTCGTAAAGAAAAAAAAAATGTGGGTGTTCATTTTAATATTCTCACCTTGTTATTCCTACATTTAGAAATGTCAGAGTTCCAAACTAAATATTTAGTTTCAAACTAAATGCTTATTTTTCATGCTAAATGTTTAGCTCAGGCCTATATTTATAGCTTATTAAGGTTAATAAGTAGGCAACTTAAATGTTTTTCTAACTAGCTTAATATTTAGCTGATGAGCTAAATATTGCTAAACCAAATATTTAGTAACCAAAAATAAATATTTAACTTTGAGCTAAATATTTAGTCTCCTAACTAAGCATTTCATTTGAAATAAATTTTCATATATTTAATGAACTGTACATTTGTCTTGTGAATTAAATATGTACTTTGGAACATTTAGAAATGTAAAAAAAAACGTGGTGAAAATATAACTTTGAAAAATCTACACCCGTGTTTTTTTTTTTCCCTTCTCTCTCCTACGACAGGCTGAATAAACCAAATTTGTTTCTATGATTTGTTTTTTGGGTTTTTCTTTTTTAATTTTTACTGTGTAACTTTCCAAACCGAGGCCCATGAGCTTCGTCTCACCTCCAGTGGAGTATCCATGTGCGTACACCTCCCTGCTAATGATCCACATTGCTCCCAGCCCGCTCACTAGACGCTGTGAAACGCACACGAGGAAACAAATCAGTGTCGGCTTCAGCCGCTGGGATGTGATCGCGTCACCCACATTTGGGTTAAACAACAACAACAAAAAACTCACAGGGCTATGCAAACCACCAACTGCCAGGCAGAAGAGAAAGGGGGGGTAAACCTCCAGCCTGTCAAAAGGTGATAAGAGATTGTTAACCTTCATCTGCTCTTATCAGCAGGTGAAACCAGAAGGTGTGTGCGGGCTTCTGCCTCTACATTCGCAGCAGATACATACGTGTTCTGGTGTGCACGCTGGATGCAGTTGAAGATATGTCCATGTTCCGGATCATCACTGTACATCTGTGGGTACTGCAGGGGGAGCGGGGAGGGGAAGAAAGAGAGAGAGAAAAAGCAAATTACTCTCTTGGCATCTGGCCTAAAAGGACAGCAATGATCTGTCCTTTTATGCACAGCTCAAAAAGTGACATCACCCTCCGGCTCACCTTCACTTTGTACTTCTTCCGGGCTTTTCCCACATTGATGGCCAGGTGTCCAATCATGATCATGCTGGCGACACCAGTCAGCACAACGTAGCCATACTCCTTAGAAAACGCTCCCATTCTGCGAGACCTGGCGGAGGTGACAGAGTGGCGTTAAAAACTAAAGTAGACACGGAGAAGAACCGGAGACTTGGGACTTATTGTTTCACAGCACAGACATGCAGACGGACTTGTGATGAGACAAACTCGTCCAGTCCACTCTTACTTTCACATAACCCGGTGAAAACAAGAGAGAAAGTGGGCCGAGCAAGGACGAATGAAGCGAGTGGAAGGTCGAACAAGAACCGCAGCGCAAACATGACCAGAGGCGGACAGGAAGCGAAGGTTTTGTTTTAGGAGCTTCTTACCTGAAAACTGGGAGAGGGGTTGACTCTGAGTCCGACCCTGACGTAGAGACGCTGCGGTGTCAGAGCGAGCGAGCGCTGCGACGCTTTTTACGCTTCTTCTTCTTCTTTTGTTGTTTTTTTTCTTTTCTTTTCTTTTATTGGTGGATGGCAACCAACCTAAGATGCATTTACCGCCCCCTACCAGGCTGGAGTGTATTTATCAATCATCTCAGAGGGAAACAAATAATACACACCTCATATGCACGAATGTGCACACTTACATCCATACACACTCACACATATATATATCTATGTGTATATATTCACACACACACACACACACACAAACATATATACTTTAAATACGATTAAATAACCCAGTGCTGTTTTTTGTAAAATCTAATTAATTGATTTTTATCAGAGTTTGATTTATTTTCTAAAAGATTTATCATAGAAAATACTATTTTATCTCTATTTAGTATTGGCTTTAAGTGCTGACGTTACTCTGAGTACTTATTACATTCTATAAGACGTGTTCGACTGTTACAATAATTACTATAAGTCCCTGTTTCATGTTTTCCTATTCTGAAAAGGAGCTTCTTACCTGAAAATTAAGACTATTATGTCCAGTATGACCAATTCTAAGTCGAGATATGACGACCTCTTCTTTCCACCTTGCATTCATAGAACTATTATCCCCCCGCACTGTCTTGAATTTTATATAAATCTCTACCAGTGTCATGATTAGCCCATTGTTCCTACCAAAACCAAGGATTTTATTTTGAATAATAGATTCACCCTCACTTTTACTTAAAGGAACATTTGAGTTCATATAAACTGATTTCAGGACCTGTTTAGTTAACATGGATATTTCTTCATTTCCTTCTATGCCTACATGAGCAGGAAATCCAGACAAACCGAACAAAACATTTATTATTATGTAGCTGAATAAGTGTAGATTTAATATTAGATTTATTATTACACACACACACACACACACACACACACACACACACACACACACACACACACACACACACACACCCCCCCCCCCCCCCCCCCCCCCACACACACACACACACACACACACACACACACACACTTAATAATAAATCTAATCTACAAGATTTGCCAGATTTTACACTTAATGGTGCAGCTTGACGATCTGGGAAGAAATTTACTTTCTTTCCTAATATTATCATCAAGCAACCATTCATTTCAAGACAGTGTAAAACATTTGTTTACATAGGCTGTATGCGAGTGGACCACCTCATGCTATGACACCAGAGGGCGCTGTGAATGCACTGGAATGAAACAACGCTCACATGTTGGGATAGTTCTTCAAAAATGGCTGGGTATTTTAGACTTCTTTTCTCCTTTTCTTTCTTTCTTTATTTTATTTTTATTTATTTATTTATTTATTTATTTATTTATTTATTTATTTATTTATTTATTTATTTATTTATTTGACCGACATTGGATCTGCAGTCTTGTGACGTTTTCACCTCACAGCCATTGGTTGCGCCCAAACGAGTCACGGTTGCTATGGTTACCGCGGACTCTGTCGCTTCGTCTGGTTAAACCTGGAACAAGACTTCAAGAAATCGGTATAAACCTTTTAAATGAGCTTGTATAGTAGCACGTATTATAATTATAATACATGAAACTTCAAAAGTAATTTAAATAACCTTCAACATTTCACTAAACTTTGAATAAGCAAACAGTTGTTGTTTTTTTAAATGGACAACCTTAAAGCTTAAACTGTCTCTCCTGAGGTTAGTGGAGCTCAAAATTGTTTTTCACCTTTTTTTTTTTGTTTGTTTCAAGTACAGTTTAGTTTTGTTGAAACACGTCTCGTTTTATTAAAACACTTTAAGTGTTTATATTATATGCCTGTTGCTTTCAAACCGTGTATATGGAGCCATATTCAATGCAATGCAGAAACTAGCTTACGCTAGCTTACTCATAGCAACATTTCAGGTTATCTTGAATTGGAAGGGAAGCTAAAGGGAAGGAAAAGCAGCGATGTCTGAACAAGTTAAGGACAAGCCACAAAAAGCAGAGAAGAAAGTGAAGCTTCCCACGGAGGGACCCAGAGCCAAAGAAAAAGCTGGCCGGATTAAAGAGTAAGTATCCATCCAAGTCTGTTCTGCCTGATCAAATTGAAGGCTTCTCCTGTCAGACACTTATAATGTGTCTATTCTCTGTTTTCTCTATCTGATCCATCATGTTCAGGCCTGCCAGTGCGCATGTGGACGAGCATGTGGCCCATGAAGATCATCCTGCAGCTGCCGTGATTCCAAATTCTTACCAACTGGGTAAGCAAACATTCAAATTTAAAGACCATCACCATCAGCTAATCTGAATCCTGTGTACCGTGTCTGATAATCGTAGATGCTTAGCTTTTGACATGACAGCTAGACTACAATAGTTATAATGGGAAGAATTTGTAAACATTTGGGTTTATTGACAGGTTTAACCACAATTAATGGAAGTCAAACCAGAGACAGTGTGTAGGCAAACAGTTTGTCAAAACTAAAACTGCATACAAACTAAAACTCTTACCAAACAGGATCTCTGACAAACATATGCCTCAGTAAAAGTCCTATTGTTTATTAATAATACAACCTTAGTAAACATGTCACCCTTATTATTCTCTACTGGACGAAGCGGAATAATATTTGAATTAACATCTTCCGTCTATTTCTAATTTATGGGTTTAGGCACCATTTTATGGAAGCGTTAACCAAGCAACCTACGCATGTTGAGAAATGTTTTCATTATAATGAGTTTCACATTGTTAGGAAAAATGGATCTTAAGGAGATAATGGTGCTTTCCCAGCTTTAAATGCTTTCGTAGCATTGGTCACCAAAAACAAGATGTTAACATTTTTAGAATGAAGTTAGTTTTGAACATTATGTTTTGCATATGTGTTATTTTCTCACCAATAAATTCCCTGGGATCCATATAATGATGAGGATATTGAATGAATGCTTAATCAGCAGTTTTTATTTTTGTCCTGTTTTTTGTTTTGGTCTATAGGTCCTTCTAAACCATTCCCTATCACTACTGTTTCACACATACTGAAGGAAGAAATCACCCATCACCTCCAAGAAATGGATTACGATCCACTGCTCTCTCGAGAAATGACCCTAACTCTCTGTGAAGTAGGTGAAAACGCAGCCGCCTTATTTTTTGATTCCATCAGGACATCCGCCGAAATCAGAACGCTTTCTTTCTGACCTTGTTGAAGGTGATAAGGACCCGTGTGAAGGACCTCATGATACCCAGGTTCAAAAACGTCATCCTGGTCCACATTGGCCAGCTCAACGGTCAGGGGTTGCAGATCAGCAGCCGCTGTCTGTGGGATCCAAACGTCGACACCTTTGTGTCCCACTCCTTCAAGAACACCTCTCTGTTTTGCAGCGCCACCGTGTACGGGCTCTACTTTGAGTAAAGTAGAACCCGTCAGGTCAAGTTGTCTCTTTGCCAAATGCTTTATTTTTGAGCAAACACTTTGAAGTAGAAATTCTTCAGTACGTGACTGTCTGTATATAGTAGTTTGTGTTATCAGAAGTCACTTACCATGTGTTTCTCCTTTTTTCAATGCTGAAGCTGTTGCAGAATCTTCCAGTATTCTGCCAAGGACGTTTTTCTTGTAGGATAAAAGCTACAAAATGCAAGGACTGATTAGAGCCAGACCAAATAGGCCGATGTTGCAACTTCTGTACAGAACAGTGTTCTTACATGGAATGTGTATATAAAACAGAGGCATCTGTGAGGTGTTGCTCTGACCTTTCTAATTTTGTTGTGTTCAGAGCCCTTGGACGCTTGACCGCCGTAAAATAAAATACTTGAAAGACAAAGTTGCAACTTTCTCAATCTTTCTCTCTACCTGCTTGGTTATAAATTTCCATCACTCTGTAAAGATGACAGATATACGCTCAATTTCGCAAAAAGAAGAATGCAGAGATTTTGCTGCTGAAGAGTTAGCTGATGGCCACCAAATGGATGGCTCGGCGAGGTGGCTGCTTTCTGTACAAGTTATGAAGCAAACAATATAAATATAATACAACCATGTTACAGGCTGCTTGCTCCAAGTCCTACACAAGACTAAAGGACATAGAAAAAATTAAGTTAATTACTGCTACTTTAGAAGCGTTAATTTACTTAAGCATGCACATTAAAGAGTGGATTTATATATTACAATGTTAGATGTCAGATTTATTAAACTAACATAATAAATCTATAAGTAACTGTATGTATTTAGATTTAAAAAAATAATTAATAATAAAAAGCAACACCGACTTTCCTGCAGGATAACATGACAAAAGGGCCGCAAACAATTTAAGAAGACCACAGAAGAAGAAACGATGACGAGGGTCTCCCGATCAAAGATTTTACAGTCAAGCAAAGGAACGATCTGAAAAAGAAATTGCGCAATTTTTGCTGTCATTAAATAGTTATATATATATATATAAATAAATAGTTATATATATATATATAGATATATATATATATATATATATATATATATATATATATATATATATATATATATATATATAAACAACCTGGTTGCAGAGGCTCATGTTTACTTGCACTGAAAAAAAGTCAAATACAAATTTTTTTCTAATGCTAGATTTTTAGTTTTTTCAGTAATTGTCTTTTTTTTTTTTATTATGCACAGCAGTAGTGGCCTCTGATCTCATATTACCTGATCTACGTGCACGTGAGCACGTACTAGGTCTACCACCTACATTTACTTATCAGATGAGCGCGTGCTGGTGTTCACTGAGCGTGGTGACGCTTTTCCAAAGCTCTGCAGCGGTTTACCTGCAAATGAAAAGCTCTATTTTCACATCTTTATAATGAAGCCAGTATCCTTAAATTCGTATTATTAACTAATGTTGGGACAGAGCATTATATAAATGGCTATAGTTGTGGGTGAGGTCCGCTGTGAAAAAACCCCCAATCAAAACAAAGACCGTTCGGCTTTTTCACCTCTTTTACTTTGGTTCTCGATATTGGGGGGAGGGAAGTGGGCGGAGCTCCGCATCCGGGTATAGACGGTGACCTCTGACGTCACCCAGCAGGATCGCAAATATGGCGGAGGTAAGAAAGTGAAATAAATAGTCAGAAAAAAAATGTCTTTCATATTTCCTGATAGTTTGTTCAACTGAATGTGCATGTAGTCATTGTGTTTTGACAGTTTTAAACACAATTAAGCAGCAGCTTGCCGGCCTGCTCGATAGCAGTTACTTGTTTGAGTCCAGAATGTTGTAGAAAGTTCGGCTTTAGCTAGCATTAGCTGCGCTAGCCCCGACGGACTGGAAGGTAGCTGCGGTGTTTGTTACTTCGCGGTTCGCTCGGGATATTTATCCTCGCGTGAACAGCTGTTAACTGGACATTTGTCCGTGTTTTCCTGTCATTTGTGGGCTCGAACTCAATTCCCATTCGCTGGCTGTGAACAGCCAGCTAAATTAAGGCGTCTTAGCGGGTTTCTGTGAAGGAGAAATAACTAGCTTGCAACTTGTATTGAAGTGAGCGAGTCGAGAAAATGAGCGCAGTCAAGCGGCGTCCTGTCAGAACAAACCGGTGGTTTAATCTGGCGTATGGTCGCCGTTGCAGTTGTGACGTTCAGTCTGTTGTGCCGTATGTTGGGTTGCGCTACATTTTCCTCGCAGGAAGCGGCCACAGTAGCCTTTGTTTAGTGTCTCATTGAGTTGGCAGTGAGCTTTTAGGGTTTAGCGGCAGGCGCGCTTTTTCGGAGTCCGCGGACCTCCCACAGTCAGAGCAGCCTGTGTATGCTGTCCTACTGGAGTTTTCCGGGGCGGGGGGTTGTTTGGGTAATTTAAAACACATTGCTGTAATTTGAGGTCTCTTCTTTTTGTTGTTTTGGCTTTGTTTATCGGCTGACGCGGCTCTCAAAAGCAATGCTATTCGACTAATTATTTGAAGTCTTCGAAACTTTGCTTAAAACCAGAGATTGACCAAGATTGCTGAAGTCTATGTCAGCAATCTTGAAACGACTAAATAAACAGTATTTCTCTTAAAAAATGACTCAATTAATCATAAACTTTAGCTGAACTTCAAATACTAATAGACAAGATTAAATTTAGGATTAATGCAACAGGAAAATACTATTATTGCTATGATATGATAGTTGTATTTGATAAATCAAAATATGCAGAAGTCCACTTTTTTTTTCAATCTGTTAAAATAAACTGCATCATATTTACTTTACTCTTAAAATATAGCTTAGGTCACCCTTTTTCAATCCACAAAGTACAGAAGTGCACCCTATCACAAGATATGGGTTTTATGTAGTAATTAGTTTTTCCAGCCAATTTCAGATCAAATAAATATTTTGTATTTTCTAAAGTGCAATTTTATGGCACTTCTTTTTATGTTTTGTAGCATTTGAAATAGCAAGTGCATTTTATTTTTAGGACATCATTTTTTAGGGGGTTTTTGCCAAAAGGTGTGTGGCAAAGTGGGAGTGCTGCGCAACACAAATAATAACCCGGCCAGAACAGGTTGCATTAAATACCGTGTCACTAACTTGACGAAGCTTCAAGGCAGACCAATTTTCCTAGAGAAATTTTAATATCCGAGGCACTGAAATCACACAAGGAATCATTTCAGCCCTAATTGAGATACAAAGTTGTTCTCCATGTGTGTTTTTTGTGTTTAACTCTCAATTCTGCAGATTTGTTGGATGTGTTTCTTGTTTTTGTCCTCCTAACTTTTTGACACACCTCTCCCTGTTTTTTAGCCCTCCCTCGGGAATTCGAGCCCAGGTAGCTTTAAATCCTTTTCCTTGAAATAACTACAAGTTACATTGATACATATCAGTATTATTTCCAATTTGATGTGCGGTATTACACTTAACGATTTGCGTGAGGAGAATTTGCTCCGGTTTGACATTGTCTGCGACCTTGAACATTTGCAGGAGGCTCAGCAGGTTCCGACGACCATGATTTTGATCCGTCAGCCGACATGCTTGTTCACGACTTTGATGATGAGCGAACCCTAGAGGAGGAGGAAATGCTGGAGGCAACAGACGAGACCAACTCCAACGAGATCGAAGACCTGGCACGGGTTGGTGTGACGCTCGGCTCTCGTGTTTCTATTAGTTGTCATTATTGTAAAAAAGAAATAATGATAATAATAATGCTGCATTCATTCATTTATTTAACTAAAATTTAACCAGGTGAGTGATTAAGATCAGAATCATATTCACAATAATGTTACATATTAAGTTAGCCGTGCATGTTAGTTTCATCTTGGACATTAATCCTAAACAAATAAATAAATAAATAAATCAATATATATATATATAATTTCATATATATATACATATATATATATGAAATTATAATATAATTATAAATACATCACTGCTTTTGTATTTGTACATTGTGCTGCCTGCACCACACTGCTGTTATGTTTTAATAATTTTATTGAATAATTAATTTAAATAATTGATTGGTATTATAATTTTTAAAATACTAATTCATTTTAATTTAACTCAATGTAAGGTATGTTTGAATTGGGTTGAATTCATAATTATGATGCTAATTTCCAGTACGCTACACACTCTGTTACTGACGTTACAAAACGTTTTAATATCTGGGTGAAAATAATGAAATTATTGTTTAAAGTACATTTTACTCATTATTTCTCTGTAATATTTTGGTGCCTCCTTAAATTGAGAATGAACCATAAATATATCTGTGCTAACATTTGGACATTACATCAACATAGTTCTTTTTAAAACTCATATGTATAATTATTCATATCTTTTTTTTTTTCTTTTTTCACAGGAGGGGGAGATGCCCATACATGAGCTGCTGAGTCTCTATGGCTATGCGAACAGATCGCCTGCAGAGGAAGAGGAGGAGGAAGATGAGGAGCCAGAGGAAGAGGATGAGGAGGAAGAGGATGAAGAAGAGGACCTTGATCCTGATGAAAGCAGCAGAAGCACCGGAGAGCTGAAGAAAACGGAGGTATTTGTTGAAGCCAACGACTCTGTATTTTTAAGCTCTATCTGAAAAATGACTGTTTTCAAAATGAACCGTCTGACACATTTATAGTCTGAACTATTGTAAAGTGTTGAAATGTCTTGACATGTTATGTGATGCAGAAGGTTTTCAGTTTAATTCCAGCTTTTTTTTTTTAGGGCGAAGATTTCAAGACTTCATCAGAACAAGGCAGCGATTCCCAGACCACTTCTGACGGTCGCACGCGCTCAGTCCGGTCACTCGGCACGGCAGAACTCATTCGCCCTCAGAAACTCAAGTACTTTGAAAGTACGAGCCGATCCGCCCTCCTGGTTTTTGCGACATTATCTGGTCATGTTTGAATTTAAAAGCATCGTGTCGTCTCTTAGGTAGTCATGACGCAGAAGAGGAGTCAGAAGAAGATGAGGACTATGTTCCCTCTGAAGACTGGAAGAAGGTAGGCAAGCAGTTTCATGTCATTTATCAATTTAGTTTTGATAGATTTGAAGAATCAGTATTAACTTTCAAAACCATGTTTTTGTACCAACAGGAGATAATGGTGGGTTCTATGTATCAGGCTGAGACTCCTGTTGGTTTGTGTAAATACAAAGAAAACGAGAAAGGTAAGCTTTGCGGTTGAATGAAATTATTAAACTTTAGTGTTTACTGAACTTCCTGTAGATATAAAGTCGATCGTCAAATTTTCTTTTTCTTTTTTTTAATTGATTTCAACCTGCCGTGCAGTTTATGAAAACGATGACCAGTTGTTGTGGAACCCTGACTGCGTTCCCGAGGGGAAAGTTGTCGAGTTCTTGACGGAGGCGTCGAGGCGAACTGGAGAGGAGAAAGGAGTGGACGCAATCCCAGAGGGTTCTCACATCAAAGACAACGAACAGGTGAAGCCACCAGAGCTACAGCTTCATAGACACCCATCAGCCATAACATTAGCATTAGCAGGTGTCAGTAGCTTGGCTTCCATTACAAATGTGCGCAAAACTTTGCTGATATTTTGTTAATAAAGAAAACTTTTGCAGAGTTTCCATTAAATAAAAAAATTTAGTCAAAACCACATGTAAATACTTTTGTTCACACATAATTCATTAAAAAAAACATCAGCTTCCGACTACTTCCTGTTGTCTTCTTTGTGGTTTATGCCAGTGGCACAAATGTGTTTCCTGTGATGCGAAAAAAGTATTTCTTTTGCAGTGAAATAAACTGATTGGATACAGCCCAATAAACACCGTCCTGGCGCCAAAACTTAACTGGCGTGTTTCTACTAAGCTAATTTATTTTTGAAATACCACATTATGCAGCATGATCCCGCTAAACACTGCTTGCTGACTGTTAACGTCGCTGGTTTCAGCTGAGAAGTTGTCAACATAACATGCTAAATATTAAATGTGCACATGATGGTGCTTTGCTCCTAATTGTCAACACTGTAACAAGTAGATAACAAGGTCAGGAGAAAGCTTTCATAAAAAAAAGAAGAGTGTAGGTCAGCAACGCTAGCTTGACTTTGACAACATTCACATGTAGATGTGCTGTGGAATTTGGTGTGTTTTGGTCAACAGTTCCCACTTCCAGGCCTCAGGCCCTCCTGCTCTGCGTGTTTTAGATGAACCTCTATTCCAGAACAGCTGATTCAAATGACCTCATGAGCATCAAGTGCTGCAGAATCCTGTCAATCACCCACATATTCAACCCAGAAGGGAAACGCCTAAAACATGCAGGGCAGGGGGGCTGTGACGACTGGAATTGAGAAACACTGGTTTTGGTGAAGTTAAAATAATAATAATAACGGCAATGTAAAAACGAACTCTGACAGAGAATCTGTAGTGTCGATTTGTGATCGTTATCGCTATGGTAGATTAGCTACTGTTGTAATTAATCGCAAAATAAACGTCAAACCTAAAAACGCAACACTGTATCACACTGAATGTTCTGTTCTCTGAGTGGGAAATGTCTGCATGGTTTCTGTGATTAAATCCTAGACACTGTTGCACTGTTGTCAGTTGCGATGCTGAGTCTGTGTAGCCACTGCAGGGAGCAAGAAAAAAAACAAACACATGCGTAATTTTGAGTTATTCTTTAGTATTTTTCCTGCATGGTTTTTTCCATCTCCTGTGTTGCCGACATCTCCAGGCTTCATTTTGCTAACAGAATTGTTCTATGGCGGCAGAATCATTTCTTTTTGCCCTCCAGCATTGTGCACATGTGGATGTCGACCATAATATGCAACGTGTCTATTTGGTCAATGGAAACACAGCTACTCTTAATCCCTTCGCCTGATTGGTTTAAATGATAATTATTTATTTTAATGTGATTGATCTAAATTTCATTCTCTTTCCTCTAGGCTTTGTATGAACTGGTGAAATGTGACTTTGACACAGAGGAAGCTCTAAGAAGACTAAGGTTTAATGTAAAAGCAGCTCGAGGTGAGCCACTCCTTTACAGATTTATATTTAGTTTGATTTAGTTTGCTTTTTCAGCAGATTGCTTATTTTGAGTCCGTATCCTCCGGTTAACGATCATTAGACTAGCAGCTCAATAACCGATTAATCGCGATTAATCAGGAATCCGCCTCTTACGTTGCTCAGCTGAATGCTGCTGGTGGAAAGCCACGCCCCTTTGGCTTTGAACGGCATGCTGGGAAAGCTCACTTGGCTTTTTGTTGTTGTCTTGATGCCAAAACACTTTGAGATAAATGCTCCTTTTCAGATGTAACACTCAGACTCTCTTTAACAGAGGAGATATCAGTTTGGACTGAAGAGGAATGTAGAAACTTTGAACAAGGACTACGAGCTTATGGGAAAGACTTTCATTTAATACAGGCCAATAAGGTGAGACATGTTTTCTAATTAATCAGTCATTATTGTATTTATTTTTTTGTGTGTGTTGTTTTCTTTAAACAATTTAAATTTTCTTCTGTGTAGACATACTGAAATTTCTCAGGCTTCTAATTCATCATGTCTTGTGTTTCATTTGTACCTCTTTGGACGATTATAATAATAATAATTATTATTTCTACTGATTGAAATCTTTCAGGTGAGAACTAGGTCTGTAGGAGAATGTGTGGCCTTTTATTACATGTGGAAGAAATCTGAGCGTTATGATTTCTTTGCACAGCAAACCAGACTAGGAAAAAGGAAATACAACCTTCACCCTGGTGTCACGTAAGTCTGCTTTCAGAGGAACCGTTCTAACGCAAACATCAGCTCAAAACGTGTGATTTTCTGATTCAGAGCTTTTTGCTTTTGTTATTGAAAATGAAATTTTACGATTTTAAATGTAAATACTAAGAAGCTTCCACATTTGTTGGGATGTTGCCGCATTAAAGTTTGTGGTTTTAATGTAAGAAAATATGAGGGACATTTAAATGTTTGGAAGACTCTGTAACAAGTTTCTGAAAATAAGTCTTGGTGTGTATAATGTGTAAATATGGAAGCTCTGCTGTCAGTCAGGTGTGTGTAAGGCCCATGTGCTGGTGTGTTTCAGGGACTATATGGACAGATTATTGGACGAGACAGAGAGCGTGACGTCCAGCAGGGCGGCGTCGCCTCCGCCCACCACGTCCAGCAGCAGCGCCAGCCACTCTGAGAGGGAAGACAGCAGCAGTCAGAACGGTGAGGAAAAACCACGGCTTTCAGGCGCAAACCAAGGGAAGAGTTTCAGTAAGTTACAGCTTGACCGACAGTTTTTAGAAGTTCATTTATTAATCATTCTTCTTTCATTCTGAACAATATTATCCACACTAAGAAGTCAGACTCCTTTAAACGAGGGCAAAATTGATCTTAAGTTCCAAGTGGTTAATTTTTTTTCAAAAATATTTTAACAAAAAATAAGCAAATATAGTTTCGATTGTTGGGGAAAAGAAAAATCAATTTCTTCTTCTTCTCCTGAAGGCGTCGCGGGTCATCCGTTGGACCCATCTCAGTTGCCCGACTCGACCCAAGTGAAGGTCGAGGGCGTCCAGTCCAACGGCCCGTCTCACCCAGAAGCGGAGCCGCTCCTCTCGATTCCAGACAACAACTCCAATGGCTGCGGCCAAGTCAGCGCGCCCAACCACGACAGAAACGGCTCTCTGGAGCTCCTGCTGGACCACAAACCGGCTGCGGCGGCGGTGGAGGCGGCCGTGGCACAGGACAGACCGGCCAAAAGATGCAGGACTGAAGCAGAGCCTCTGAGTCAGAGCGAAGCCGATCCATCCAGAACACACGAAGACTAACAACGTTCAGGACTGCCGTTGTTCGTTAATAACACACCGTTTTTGGGGTGACGTTTTTCCTCTTTCCCCACTGCCCCTCAGTTTCTCCATAAATGGCTAGTTTAGTGGAGCAGAGGACAAAGACGATGAAGCTTCGTTGAGCTGTGAGCACAGAATCTCTTAAAAGACTCACTTTAGGAAGGCCAAAGGTTGATGAAAAGCCCGTCTGCTCCGCCACGTCCCAAAAGACACGTTTTCCTCATCGTCTCCACTCCCAGTTTGGAGACTTGTCAAAATTTTGCCAAGAATTCTCTTTTCTTTTTCTGTTTTTTTCTATTTGTACTTAAATAAAACAAATCATCTGTGATATTTTTCTACACAAGAGATATTTATATTTTCTAACCAAAAATAAAAAGCTCTAATGATATGGGTTCTTGGTGTTCAAGCCATTCGTTTGTTGTTGAGGGTTTGATGGAAATGCTGGCGTGTCTCCAGCTGGCTGTTGTTGCACTTTGATTGTACGTTTCTCCTGTTTGAGGAGCGACTCACCCCAAACTCCCCCCAGCAGAACCCCCCACCCCCCACAGCTGTTTGAGTCTGCTGAATAAACCCACGGGTCTGTCCCCCTGCAGGTTTGTTTGTGAAAAGCAGCTGACATCAGTGATGTCCTGTATTATCATGTAGATCTCTGCATATGTTTTTTTTTTTTTTTTTTCAATTTTTATAGTCTGCTTTGCTCAACACTTTGTTTTTACTAGACAGAATGTTTGTGACCGCTCATGTAAAGTTTGTAAAGTTTTCTTACCTTTAATAAGCAGTTGGTGCATATTTTTCTCCTTTCATGTTGCTTTTCTTCGGTCTTCCTTGTACACTGCGCTTTTTTTTTTTTTCCTTGCTGACAAACTGCTGATTATTTTCTGATGGATGTAATAAAAATTAAAAAAATAAAAATCAGCCATTTCCTTTCTCCTCTGATATAAAAGTTTGTAGTTGTCACCTTTTTGAAATAAGCTCTCCCTCATTAGTGAGTCAGAATTTCAGGTCATTTTCTAATCATGTTTTTGCAAATCATTAACCTGCTAATCTAGAGTTCAGCAGAGTCCAGTTTTTATTTTTTATTCTTTTAGAGCTTTTATTTGTGACAATACAAAAACCTTCAATCTTCTTCACTCAGCAATAGCATCCACACTGAAGAGTGTTGAGCGGAATATCTTAGCGCATGTATGGTGACATTCACCAATCACAGGAACAATCTGTGTTTCCAACCAATGAAAAATCGTTTCAGTCACTAATAGCAGACTAACCTGGTATTAAAGTGGAGCTTTGAACTTCTTTTTCTTAAATTTAAATGTGATACATAATTAAATATAAACCATTCCAAAAACCTGAATATAAAGATCTGGATGAAGTCAAGTTTTTTTAATACATGTCGCAGACAGACTGAAGCAGAAGTCTGAGTATTGTAATACAAAATACACATTTATTAGTGTCCTGTTTGAATGTGTACAGTTAAATGGCTTATTAAATCAAGGCACCACATCCTTTAAAAACATAATAAAATGATTTTAATTATAAAAACTTTTTTTTTTTTACAATTGCATATAAAAAAATGTATGGGATGTATCACTAAATACTCTTTACTGCTAAGAAAGTTTAAACAGATCATGCAGCACATCTTCAAAACATGAAAACATGATCAGCCCACTAGTTGCATCTTTTTTCCTTAAGGTTTGCAGACAAAAGCAGGCGATCATCATTTTTCTGCTTCACTCGGTGTGGACTCCAGGATTTATGCCTTTTCTGTTCGAAATGATGAAAAACGCTTGAGGTTAGAGAGACACTTGAAACAAAGAACCCCTTCATTACAGAGCAAGAGGCTGGAACAACTTTAAAAAAGTAGAATTGGCGAGATCTCTAGTCGGCCGTAGAGTATAATAAAGCAGTGCTAAACCTTCACTTCCCTTGGATTTGATCACATTTTGGGCCAGAGCACAAGGTGTCTTATTGAGATTTTGTCTGACAGACCCAAAAGTGGAAGGAACATGTTGGGAGGGAGGGAAGCGCCTAAAGCTAAAATAAGAGATTTTCCATCAGGATTATGATTAAAGGTATTTCAAACTGTACTTACTGCTTTGCTGCTGTGTGAAGGTGATATAGGAATACACCAGGCTCCCGGCAATGCTGTTGGGAATGAAGAACGAAACGTGACCCAAGTGTTAAGACTCGCTGTTCACATGTGAGAATCACGCAGCTCGGTTTTAATTCTCCTCCGCTGCAGACCAACCCAAACAACTAAACCCGTTCGGGTGATTACCTGATGTTCAGCCCCAGGAAGTTCAGCCAGGTGAATATGTAGTCTCCACCGAACACCATCCCGATGTATGTGACCAGAATATTCTGGGGGTAAAATCGCAAGAAGTGCTTAAAGTATACGCCGGCTCTTCCCAGAGAGCGTTGGCGAAGAGAAGTGACTGACCTTGATGCAGCCTATGATGGAGGTGGTGAGCGCCGAGTTGAGCTGCGTGCACAGCATGATGGAGTACATTAAAACAAATCTGCGTGAACACGCAGGGGGAGGAGGAGAGAGACTTAGCAGAACCTGGGTGTCAGTTAAACAACGCTGCCAAGAGTTTGCGTAGCTACATTACCCCATGACACAGGAGAGGATGAACTGCGCAACAAACAGCTGATCAGCCCAGCCTTCGTAATCCAGTCCCTGTTCACAAACACACACAATCACAGGGACACCGACTTTACAGTCATCCTGAGTATTCATTACATCTTTATTTCGAACTTTTGATGATTTATCTGAACTTTTTTTTTTCAGATTCACTGAATCACACACCTGAACCAGACTGTGTGCACGTTTATCGAATTTATTGATATTCTTTGTAATGGAGATACTCAAAATTTCATCTAAATTTGTGCTCATAATATGGTAATAACAGGGGGTTCTGCTGTGTTGCCGCTGTAAGAAGAACTGGAGCTTCAGGATTTCTTTTTGGGCCATCCCTAACCGGGTTCGCATCTTTCAGTTGCTTATGGGGTGATATCTTCTTCCTCGCTTAGCGGCCTTTGACCGTGAGCTGGTACACGATTTGTTTGTAGACGATGACACTCCGAGTACGTCTTTTGCTTTTTGTCTGGCATTGACTTCCATATTTCAGACTTAAACATGAGATGTTCGTCTCTAGGAAACAGAACCCTATAGTGACGTAAAAGATCCACATCCACTTCAGATACTACATCTGATGTGGATGTGGTATCCAATGTAATCATAAGCATCGGATACTTATGATTACATAAGTACGTATTCGATGTAATGCCACAAAAGGAAGTGGCACAAATCAGGTAAATAGATCGGAATTGGGCTGAAGAAAATCGTCAGACTTGGGTCGGACGTAACCTTAAGTTTGCTTATTGCTCAAGGCTTTAACATTTTACATATAATTAAAGTTGGTCGGTCTATAAATATTCCCCGCTGGAAAAAGGTTCATTTGTAAAATGGTTCAAAAATAAATTATGAAAAGCCTCAGATAAAAACCTCTCTAATCCATTATGGGTGTATATCGCAGGAACACCTACCATCTGCAAGTCTCCGGAGTAATACGCATATGCCAGAGTAGGGAAGATCATGATCAAAGCATTGTAATACAGCAGCCCATATTTTCCAAGCTCCTGTAAAGACAACAGAGCCACGTTTCTTTCACTGTCCTCATCAACCAGGCTCCAGATCTGCTGCTGCTGCTCACCTTCGATTCCAGTTTCTGCTTTACAAACGCCCCGCTGGCTGCCGTCAGGATGTTGTTCAGCATTATGAAAACGTATCCTTCAAGATCGAAAGCTAAGTCGGCGCTACGGCAAACACAGAGCGAGATGTGTTGCTCGAGCACAGGGCATGAAACGCACGCTTTGGGCTGCGAGGAGTCGTCTTACCTCGCGGCAATAAAAGCACCGAATATCATGGTGAACACGGTCATCTTTACGGAAGCGGAGAAGGTCTTCCTGCAAGGGATTAGACTCCGTCGTTAGCAGGAAAAGTTCTGGGAACATGTGCAGATGGAATGCAGAGGTTTGACTTACTTCAGCAGGAATCCCTCAAACACCATGGTGAGAAAAATACTGAACCTCCTCAGAACCGTGAACATGGGTAAGCTGAGATGGCAGGAACAAGCAACCGTGTCACATTTAAAGACAAGAATGGGTTTTATATGATGGAGTGTTAGGGACTCACTTGAGGCGTTGCGTCCCAAACAGCCCCGAGATCTGATTCCCAACGTACAGCAGAGGCAGAGGGAACATCTGGGACGACACGCATCACGTCTGATTATTGAACCCGGGAATGTTCTTGGAGGAAATAACCTTCTCACCTTGCCCGGTATCGTCACGTCCAGGTCTGGGAATGCGATGACACCCAGCATCTTCCCGGTCCTGAGGACCACGATTGTGGCCAGCATCTGCAGAGATCAGAGCAAGACGTTACAGCAGAGGAGGAGGCGATGACATCGTGCAGGAAAGCGTTTAGCTTAAGAGCTCACCTGACCAATCCCAACACACGTTGACGACGGAAACCTGGAAAACACAAACGGGCTCAGTGGCACCAACGCTCCAGCCACACCGCTTTACACGAAGAGCTAAGATTCACAGCAATCTTCCAAAAACGTTCATACTATTCATTTTTCTTTTCACATTTGGCCATGTTGCAACCAAAAGCTTTCAACTAGTTTATTGGAATTTAGTTAGAAAGACCAGCATGAGGCAGGACACGTGAAAAAAAAAGACACAAGTTGCTATTTTCCTCCCACTTCATAATCATGTGCTACTTGTGATAGTTTTGACATCAAATTCTGATAAAATCCATAGTTTTCCATGATCATCAAGTCATTATGCTAATAATGCATTTCTGTGACTTTTACCTCCTTCAAGACAACAACAAAAAACTCCATCAGGTGGGCTATAAATTGGATTAGCCAACAGGTAATATTTTAAAAATAAAAATAGGAAAATTACAAATATTTGCACTGAAACAACATGCATATGGTTATCAGCTGCAGTGCAGATGATTTAAAGTGACAGGGTTAACCTGCCAAATATAAAGATGGAAACGCTTTAAAACTAGTTAAGGTTTTAACTTTTAACTTTAATAAAGCAGCGTACTAAAAAAAAGCTAGTATTTTTAGTGGACATTTTTTGAGTAAAAAAAACAAACAAATACAAAAACAAACTTTGGTAGAGCAACTATTGCTGATATTGATTAGGAAGTCCATTTTCTTGTTTCCGCCTCACTTCCTCGGTCTGGTATTAGTAATGAATCCGCCGCGCTCGCGCCGACATTCCGCTTCTCTGAACTTTGCACTTTTACCTGTAGTTGGTGAGGACGCTTTTGTTGACGACAACGATTAGAAACGAGCTGACCCCATAAAATGCCGCGGCAAGCAGTTTCGCGAACACTGTGGGGTTGTCTCCGGAGGAGGGTGAGGATGCTGCCGCCGCCGGCGGGCTGCCGCGGCCGCGCTCGTCTCGGCGCCTGTGGAGTTCAGCCATCGTCTACGTAACGACCGTAGAGGGAGTCAAAGCGGAAGCCTTCTCACAGTTCTCCTGCACATGCGCAGAGCAGCCGAGGAGGGGAACGAATGAAATGAGTTGACTGAGAGGAGACACTAACATCTAAAGTCAAACACCAAACCATGGTTCTTAAAGTGTTCTTCTAAGTAGCAATAATTAAGATAAATATCATTTAGATAAACAAACCTTGATGTAGAAAATATGTAACGCATATTACTTTCCTTTGGTTTTGAGATTGTTTGGTGAGAAACTGACTCAAGACTGTTAATTTTTAGTGTCAAACTTTTTGTAGTAAAAAAAAAAAAAAAATCTGAGAATTGCTACCAACATGATTGCAATATAAAAACTTTTTTCTTTTTTTATGTCTCTCGAGATAATCACATCCAAGT